TATGTACCCTTGTCTGATGGAGTGTGCACATGCAACCTGAGACGACTTCTTCCTGGAAGTCGTTGCTGTGCTTGCCTCTTCAAGCCCCTCCTGGTTCTTAGGAGACAGCAGGGTAGATGGCGGCAGCAGTTTGACTGGCCCATCCCTCATCTGATCAGCCTCGTCCTCTGCTTCCAACCTGCCCTGTGCCCCCACCTCCTTCTCTGACTGCTAGGACACTTCTCCTAAACCCCATAAATTGCTGCCTCCCTTTCCTGGGTCCTCCTCTGGCCCCGTTGTCTCCGTTGCACAATCATCAGGGCCCTGCCAGTCCCTGGCACTCCACAGAGCATAATCCACCAGGAGATTCTCCCCACATAAGCTCTGCTGAGATGTTGTTGTTTAGTCATTTAGTCATGTCCGACTCTTCGTGACCCCATGGACCAGAGCACGCCAGGCACTCCTGTCTTCCACTGCCTCCTGCAGTTTGGTCAAACTCATGCTGGTAGCTTCGAGAACACTATCCAACCATCTCATCCTCTGTCGTCCCCTTCTCCTTGTGCCCTCAATCTTTCCCAACATCAGGGTCTTTTCCAGGGAGTCTTCTCTTCTCATGAGGTGGCCAAAGTATTGGAGCCTCAGCTTCACGATCTGTCCTTCCAGGGCTGCACTCAGCACTCAGCACTCAGCACTCAGGGCTGATTTCCTTAAGAATGGAGACGTTTGATCTTCTTACAGTCCATGGGACTCTCAAGAGTCTTGTCCAACACCATAATTCAAAAGCATCAATTTTTCGGCGATCAGCCTTCTTTATGGTCCAGCTCTCACTTCCATACATCACTACTGGGAAAACCATAGCTTTTACTATATGGACCTTTGTTGGCAAGGTGGTGTCTCTGCTTTTTAAGATGCTGTCTAGATTTGTCATTGCTTTTCTCCCAAGAAGCAGGCAGCTTTTAATTTCATGACTGCTGTCACCATCTGAGATGACCTGCATACAATTAACGTTGATATACAATGGACATGTGCTTTTCTCGTTTATCAGAATGTTCACAAAATATTGGGATTGAGGATTGCAGCTCAGGGGTAGAACACCTAACATGCATGGGAAAACTCAATGTACGACTCTTTGCATCATTAACTAAAGCCGGGGGGGAGCCTTTTTCAGTTTGAGGGCCATACGACCTCATAGGCAACCTTTTAGGGGCTGCATGTCAGCAGTGGGCAGGGCTGCAGGCAAAAGTGGGAAGAGCTTTAATGGATGTGACTCACACCTTCATACAAAAGGCTACATTCCAGCCTTATGAACATCAGAGATGTCTACATTCACCCACATATCTCCATCATCTAGGCCAGTACAAAGCATCATATTCCAGCCAAGGAGGACACAGAGGAGAACTGATGCAGGGTGTGACCTGGGGAAGAGGCATGGTCCAGGAGAGTCCTGAGGGCCAGATAAGGAAACACAGAGGGCCGCATGGGAGACCCCGGGCCTGAGGTTCCCCACCTCTGAGTTAAAGGAACTTGGGTAGGAAGGCAGGAAAAGGCCACTGCTTGAAATCTCATGGAGCCACCTGGAGTCAGATTAGCAGAATATAGTGAGGTAGGTGGACCCATGGCCTGACATAAGGCAGTTTAATATGTTCAACTTTGTTGTGCTTGCATTACTTTGATGCTGAATTTTAGAAATAATTTTGCAGGGGAGAAGGCATGTGGATAACACAGAACATAACCAGCAGTTTCAGAGGCTATTAGAATTGCCCACAAGTGAATTCATGAGTTCCTTATACGAAACTCAAAGGGGAACTTACTTCCCTGTGCAAGTTCCCCGTTGGGCATTGCTGAGAGAAACTTCAAAAAGCAGAACCGTGACACTCTGGTTGGTGCGAATAACACCCAGCGTCTTCTCAGGACTCTATAAATCTGAACCAGTTTATCAAGCCTCTTGTACTGATTTGGCTGCCACCCAAAGAGCCCTGGGAACTGCAGTTCTGAGAAGAGGCTACAGAGCATTGACAAAGGCTACTCAAGCCTCAGCATTAGGAGCCGGGAAGGGAAGCGTCTTACAATTAAATGGGTTTCAAACTGGATTAAATTTGTTGCACTATGAGACACTGTCCTGAGAACTACTCTGTCCCTATAACTTAATATTTAATTTAAGAAAGGGGGGGAGGTGTTACACCTTGTACATTTGGGTTGTTGTTGCTAGAGAATCCAACATTTAGAAGACGGGAGACATTATAGAGATGTATAAAATCATGTATGGCATGGAGAAGATGGACAGAGAAAAGTTTTTCGCCCTCATGACACCAGAACATCAAGCTGAATGTTAGAAGATTCAGGACAGACCAAAGTATGTACTTCATGCAGTGCATCATTAAACTGTGGGATTTGCTCTCACAAGTGGCACTGATGGCCACCAGCTTGGATGGTTTTAAAATAGGATTGGGCCAATTCATGGAGGAAAAGGATATCAGTGGCCAGTAGGCATGCTGGCTATGTTCACCTCCACTGTCAGAAGGAGTAATGCTCCTGAATGCCAGTTGCTAGAAATTGCAGGAGGGAAGAGTGCTGCTGCACCCAGGTCTTGCTTGTGGGCTTTCCTTGGGTATCTCGTTAGCCAGTGTGAGAACAGGATACTGGACTAGATGGGTCATTAGCTTAATCCATCAGGCTCTCCTTATCCATGCAAAATTTTGCCAGGAAGACCAGGAGCAGGACCTGGAGTTTAGACGAGCACAAGAACAGGAGGGTCAGTGGAGACAAATTTCAGTGAAGAAGGCGGAAGTCACAGGAACACAATGCAGCAAAAAGATTCCTGTTGTTCAGTTAAGCCTTGATAGCGGATGTGGAAATGTTTGCAGCTAATCAGATTTATCAGGGATCACTCAGCTTCCTGTGGGATTGGGTGACCCTTTCACTCTTAAGTGCTGGACTACAGCAAGGACTTGGGAATCTGATGAGCTGTCTAAAAAGACAGCTTCAGGGCCTTAAATGAAAACCTAAAATACCACAGGTGAGACATTTCAGTTGAAATAAAATTATGGCTTAATGAACTTGCATTACTGTTGTTTGGTCTGGTCTGGAGGGAAGATCTGGGTTGTTTGTCAACAGACACGAAGGGTTTCTATTAGAGTAATGTAATATCGTTGTAAATTTGAGGCTCTTATTGGCCATGATGTACTCTGTATTGGATTACAGATAGGTAGCCGTGTTGGTCTGCCATAGTCAAAACAAAAAAAATTCCTTCCAGTAGCACCTTAAAGACCAACTAAGTTAGTTCTTGGTATGAACTTTCGTGTGCATGCACACTTCTTCAGATACACACATGAAGTGTGCATGCACACGAAAGCTCATACCAAGAACTAACTTAGTTGGTCTTTAAGGTGCTACTGGAAGGAATTTTTTTTGTTCTGTATTGGATGTAACTCTTACAATGTTGAATGAAAAATTGAGCACTGCATTCTGAACAGAGCTGTAGAAATTATCTGTAATGATCAGCTCCTTACTGCTGAACTCGCATCACCTAGAATACAATTCTGTGCATAAAGAGAGAGCGGGAACAGCCAGGGGGACCCACCTTGAAATACCTGCAGAGCAACTTTAATTACTGCCAGGTGCTAAAGCTGCAATCCTATGTACACTTACTTGGGAGCAAGCCACAGTGAACTCAGAAGGGCTTGTTTCTGTGTAAACATGTATAAGACTGAAATGCATAAGAAAAGACAAAATCTCTTCCTCATCCCTGGTGACTGACCAATTTGACCTTTCCTTTCCCCAACATAGAGGGACGCGGGTGGTGCTGTGGGTAAAAGCCTCAGCGCCTAGGGCTTGCCGATCGAAAGGTCGGCGGTTCGAATCCCCGCGGTGGGGTGCGCTCCTGTTGCTCGGTCCCAGCGCCTGCCAACCTAGCAGTTCGAAAGCACCCCCGGGTGCAAGTAGATAAATAGGGACCGCTTACTAGCGGGAAGGTAAACGGCGTTTCTGTGTGCGGCTCTGGCTCGCCAGAGCAGCGATGTCACACTGGCCACGTGACCCGGAAGTGTCTCCGGACAGCGCTGGCCCCCGGCCTCTTGAGTGAGATGGGCGCACAACCCTAGAGTCTGTCAAGACTGGCCCGTACGGGCAGGGGTACCTTTACCTTTTTCCCCAACATGTGGATCCGTTACATGTTCAGAAGTGGCTCAAACATCTTTTTCTTCCATGTGTGAATAGTGCTACCATCTGAAGCATGTATTTTGGGAGACAACTTCCCAAGTGAAATGAGAGATTGCAAAAGCCCATCTGCCAAAGGCTGCATTCAATGGCATTTGCAGTCCTTCTATTCACATGCTACTTTAAAGTGAGGACTCTTCTTTTCTCCATGATCCAGCAAAGCAGAGAAACTGCTCCCACACATAGGAGTAGTAGCCAATGTACTTGTTCTGTTACTGCAAGGATTTCCATTTGCGCAGCAGAACTACCCCCTCTCTTCTCCCAGTGTGCCCTGCATCCTCCCCCATTGTATTTTGCAGGGTTGGAGAAAATCCCATAGGGGGGGTGGGGTGGGGAGGGAAGTTCTGCTGCGCGGTCAAAAGTGTTTGTGCTGATGGAACGCGTGTGCGGAATACCGGCCATAATTTTCCTTCCTGGAAAGGAAACTTTATGAAAGGACCATAGATTTATATGGCACTTCAAAGCATTAAAAAAAGAAAAGAAAAAGTTCCATCTACGTTATCTTGTACTCTTTGTAACAGTGCTTCTCCCATTCCATATGCAGATGGATTGGCATAAAGTCTGAGGAAGTGTGAGTTCAATGGAGAAGCGAGATGTGAACCAGAGGCTTCCTGGTCACTACACCACAGCTGTGTCAGGATGTACAGTCAAATATGACTAAGGTGCTAGGCCTGGTCCCCATGCTCTGGGGATGTGGGTGTACATGTCCACCTGCACAGAAAAGCCTGCCACAGGCTAAGTATATGCAACTGTGTTTGGAGCCTAACTGTTAAGCCAAACCTTCCCACTGATTTTCTTCCCAAAAGGTGTGTTATTGGGGAACAACTCCAGCTCACCTCACAGTTCTTCAGCTGTGTCTTTGGCCTTGGTGCTCCAGAGGAAAAGGCAGGGAGCCCACCTTACCTCTGAAGATTTCAGGTAAGTAAAATGTCTTTCTCAACCCTGAAGCATCTCATCTGGGTACCAAAAGAACTACACATCTATCCTTCATTAAATACAGACACATCTGCCTCAAAACAAGGTCCATAGTAAGCATAAGTGCTGCAAGGAACCAATTCAGTGTCCACTGCTGCTAGGGAGGACTCAGCCCTGCTCCCACCACATTGAATCAACCCACAAGCCCAGGCCACAACGGTTGGCCCCAGGTGACCTGCTTATTCAGGTGTGGCACATCCTGTTTCGCCACCTGAGGGAAAAAAGGAAAGGTGTTGTCTCAATGCTTCTCTGCCAGTGGTGAAAGAGACGGAGTGCCCATGGGGGTACCACCTCTTGGGGTTCCACCCCCTGAGGCAGCTGCCTTAGTCTGCCTCATGGGTGGGCTGGCCCTGTGTTTATTGAGCATTCAACGTTATCCATCTGCATGCAAATGAGCATTCATTCTGATTTGTTTGTGGGTGGGGAGGTTTGATATGACACTGTGTCACGCAGTGGTGATCCCACCCTTTCCAGTGCACTTCCCCATAACTTTCATTACTGCAGAATGGCCCGGTTTGTTTTGGGAGTGGGCTTGTTGCACAGGAGTCCAAATCCACTTTAGCAGTGCAGCCCCCTCCTATATCACTTTAACTATCATGGATTCCCCCCACCCCAAGAATCATGATAACTGGTTTGTTAAGAGCCTCCTAACAGCTCTCGGCACCCTTAACAATGGACAACACCCATGATTCCTTGTGGGGAGGGGGAGCCATGGCTGCTGAAGTGATATAAGAGGGCTTTAAATAGACGGTGTTGGTGTGACCTGAATTTGTTGGCATGTCACTGAATCCCACCTGCAAAATAGCAACAAGTCTGGAAGCATCCAGGAGTGCGATGAACTGAAAACAGCTATGCTACACAATGTACCCATCAGCACAACAAACATTGCTCCCTGGCAACTCCAGGAAGGATGGGAATGTCCTCTGCCTACAATCCAGAAAAGTTGCACCCAGTTGGTGTGGACAATAGTGAGCTAGATGGACCAGTGTAACGCGGTATGAGGGAGCTTCCTCAGTTCCTCTCAAGCCATCAATCTGTCTTGTCATGAGAGGCAGTCAAGGGAATTTAAAAAACTTTACCTAAGCAAAATAAAGCTAGTCAATAACATTTGACCATCTCTGAATCTTAAACGTAGCACTCAGTAAATGAGAGTTTAACAGGGCTAGTTCTAGAAAGCTTTGGTTTTTCTACAACCTCATATGACAGCATTGTGTTAAGGCCAGTCAGCTAGCTACCAACAGTGGCAGTGGACCTGTTTTGTATCTTGTCCCTGTCTTAGCTTATTATTTAATGGAGGGTTGTTGGGGTTTTGATTGATTGATTGATTGATTGTGTGTGTATGTGTGTTGTCATTAAATCTATATATCAGTTTACTTATGCAATGTGCCTCATCAATCCATTGGTCCTTATTTCTTAAAGCAGTGTTGTGTGGTGGTTGGCGACAGCTATTTCAGCTAAACTAACTAGAAAATAGGGTCAACTTCCTGAAGACCCAGAAACTCCATGTCAGCGTGCGGATTTGAACTCAAGCTTCCCCAATACCCCTTTGTCAACATGACATCCAGCGGCGGACTCACCTTCACAAAGGTGCATTTTCTTCCTGCTGCAAACCGCACGCCGCACATCAGAGCATGGAAATGCAGCATGCAGGAAATTAAGGGGTGAAATAATGGAAGGCGAGACCCACACGGGGTATATGTGCCGGCGGAGGAATGGTGGATTTTTGAAACAGTAGATAATGTCTTGGCCAAGATCTCCTTAAGCCTGGGTCTGATGGGTGAGGTCTTTAAGACATCCAAGGCCTACTCCATTAAGAGCTTTAAAAAGGAACAGCGCAGGCTTAAAGCCAATCCCTCTCTTTAGAGACAACCATGGTGGGCGTAATATGATCGCGGCAGTGCAAGGCCATGAGCAAACACGCAGCTGCATTCTGAAGCATCAGAGAAGCCTTGTCAGCAATCAACTGTCAGAATAACCAGGGCGTGGGTTGCTGCTGAAGGCAGAGCCCGCGCCAAGACCCCTGCTTCTGAGAGCCAACGTGGATCTGCAGAGAGGATGTTGAATTTGGAATGGCACCACGTGCCTCTATTGATGTTAAAATCACTTACCTCCCTGCTTTATCTGTGAACAGAGCAAACAGGTGGTTGAACAAATGGGGCACAACTAGTTTGGCTCTGTGAGGCAACACAAAGCAGTAGCTAGGAATGAATGAAGAACTGTTTTGTGCATCCAGATCAGCGCGGGGGGGGGGGGGAGTGGGATGTGACTCTTGTTTGTGTAAGTTGGGAGGGGTGAAACTGGCATGTCTCTCCCAGAGCGAATTGTACAAGTTACTCTTTTTTATTTTAATTTGATAAATTCATATGCCACACCCTCTACTCTCAAGAGTTCCTGTACATTTAGAACTTGTGCAGGAGGGATGCACAAATTCTGCCTTTCTTGCTAGATAATTTGCAGTGGGGAGGATGGTGTGATGCGGGCGCACTGGCAGGGCATCTGCAGCAGAGATTGCTAAAACACTCAGATAAACTTGCTGACAAGAAAAACAGTTCAACGTGGAACAGACTTCCTCCTCTGCTTTACTGCAGGCATTTAAACAGAGGTTGCAGAGCCATTTCTCATGAATGCTGTTGATGCTTCCTATGTTGAATATTCCGATTAAGCAGTAGGTTAGTCTGGATGACCTCCAAGATTCATTTCAACCACAGTTTTAAATTGCAATGATTCTATATCAGCATGGCCTGACTCACAGGGTTGTTGTGAGGATAAAAGGAGAGAGGAGAAATATTCTTTATTTGCTCTTGAGTTTTGCAGAGGAAGGACGAGTTTATAAAGGCAAGTAGTAATTGTAAAAATTGTTCCCCCTTCCCCGACAAGGAACAACAGCAGCAGCAGCAGCAAACAACAACCATGCACTTTCTAGCCAGTCTATGAGTGCTTGAGGACTTGAAACTTAAAAAATAAATAAGTGAAAACTGAGGTTCTTGGGATGAACAAAATTCTGTGGCCAGTAGCAATTACAGTGCAGGTCTAGTTACAGTACAATAGCACACTGGGGATAAATATTCCCAAGGTACAGGTAGGGAATTGATGTAGACAGAGCATGACTAAATCAGTGGCCCACACAAAGAGTCCTTGGCCAAGGGGAGCTTAACCTCAGGTGCCCCTGAGTTACACCTGGGGCACTGATCCCACAACAGCCTCTCACTCACTCGCTCGCTGATGAGGACTGGTGAGTAATCACTTTCATTTTCCCTTTACTACATCTCTCTCTCTCTCTCTCTCTCTCTCTCTCTCTCTCTCTCTCTCTTGTTACCCATGAGTTATGATAACATGTAAGCAGCTTATAGAATTCTTATCAGTAGACGCTGAACACAATGCAACAATTAACTCTTAACGACAGCCGCCTCTAACTATGAGTGACATGTCATAAATTATGTTTGAACTGGCTCCTTCCACTCTGGAGAGTCTCTCCGCCACACAGCCAGACCTCATAAAGTTGCACTCGCAGGCTTAATCCCACTTGGACGGGTGCCCTGCCTCTCTCTCTCTCTCTCTCTCTCTCTCTCTCTCTCTCTCTCTCTCACACACACACACACACACACACACACACACGCTCCCAGCCCCAAACTTGGGCACAGTCGCCTTTCCCAACAAGGGAACAATCTTTGTTTCTGTTACCTTATTCGGCCAAAGACCTGAACAACTAGCTATGGCATTAGCAGGGCCTGCAGGCAGGACTCTCGGCAGGCCAGCCAACCTCCAACAAACCCCTTTTTATCCTCTGGTTTCTAGGAAGAATTATGATGGCGGTGCCCTGCTGCTGATGAGTCAGATCTGTGGTGGGCCTGGAGAGAAGTCCTGTAAGTGGGGTGTACTGTAAAACAGGGGCTCCCATTCATCAAGGACCCTGTGTGTAATAAACCACAAAAAACGGGGGGGGGGAGGGGAGGGAGGAAGAGAAGGGGGGAAGCAGCTGCGGAGAGCAGGAACAAACAACCCAGCTCATTCTTTAGGAGCCAAAAGTTTCTAATTTGCTGCTGGGCGGCTCAGCTCCCTGGCATCCTTTAGGAGCGGACAATGTCTGGCACTTGCTTGCACCCAGTTCTGCTCCTAGAAGTTCTGAGGTCCAGGGAACAGCTTTGTTTGGAACCCAAAATGTAGGCACAAGTTGAATAGAGAAAGAAAAGCACCACTCAGGGACATCAGAAAAAGTTGAAAGTTTCGCTGTGTGGGGGCCCTGAATCTAGCCGACCTACTGGGGGTAGGGGGTGAAATGGTACTTGGCCTTGTCTCTGGAGGCAATTATAAACAAAGCATCATGTGAGCAGTGAGAGAGGAAAGGGAGTCTGATGGATGTATAAGGAAGTTTGTGGGGGGAGGTGAGAGAGTGACATATTCTGGAGCAGCTGAGACCACTGGGTGCTGCTTTTTTCAGGAGCAGGCTAGATATTTTCCCCAGCTTCAAATTGCACAGCCAGCCATGCATCTGCTTGCTAAAAATGCAAGTTTTCAAAATTTTAAAAGTGAAATACCTTGATAAAAAGCATATAGAAAAGGAAGGAGAAGAGATGGGTGTCAAAGAGTTAAGAAATATTTGATCTAGGCTTGCATTAAGGGGCCTCACAGTCAGGTTGGAAAATGTCGTGTGAGACCACCTCTCCTATAAAAGAACCCAGAAGGAAAGTGGAAATTGCAAAATAAACTGGTGCTTCCTACAGTCCTTATTTCCCAGGACCAAGTTCCACACAAATTGAAAATAAATAGCCAATGGATTATATGTGATGAGTAAAGTAAAAAACCAAAACAGGATTTACATTTGGACTAATCCAAAATGAGAGTGATTGGTAAAATAATTTAGAGTGAGTTAAAAAGTAATTGTAGATTTTGTTTCTTGCACCAAACTTTTCAGAAAAAGTGATTATCTCCCTTTTCACCCATCA